AAGAACGAATGATACACGGATTGACCTACTTTACCTCCTGAGCCACAGCTGCCCCAGTAATCCTAGATTATCACAATCAGAAATACTTTATTGATCCTTTATGGGGGAAATTTGTTATTTATTTATTATTTGATTACAGTGGTTCAACTCAAAATTGGAAACGCGGGCTTGTTGTTAGATAGCACTAAGGTTCTAAGAATCTTGAATGAAAGTGGTTCAGGAACCAGCACTAATTTGTTGGGAAAGGGGTGTGTAACCACATGAGTACCCTTATTGAGTACTGCCACCTCTGGCATGAACATAGCCATACCCATCCCTAGGTTAGTAAAATAAACTACAACTTATTACAAGTTGTAAGTAAAAAAGCCTTTATTTTGATGCTTAGATGCATGACCCCAAACCACCCTAGCAAGTTCATTTAGTGGAGCTTGGTATTTCTAAAACCACCATCACCAATACTGGTGAGGTACTCATGAATGCCTGCATAACTAAGTCTCCATGTAAACACATAGCTAGTTTAATGCTAAGAAAACAACACTGAAAATGTCCTTGTCAAACAGGATAAATAAATTAGGGTTATGGTTATGTTGTGTTTAGGTTTAGGGTTGAGCTGAATTAGGGTACTGGCACCTGTAATTGGTCCAATTCAGGCAGTGCTTGTGACCTACCTGCACCTGACTGTTGTTGGCTGTGCATAGGGAGTTTTGTTTACTATATACAGTAGGTTGATGTTCATGTTTGTGGTTCATGTTATATATTAGGGTTGAGCAAGTACTTGGTAAAACAACTGTCCCGTACAGATAATTTACTTTTAATGCGTATCGAATGAGTAACAATATCTATATCTGTCAATATAACTTTTTTTAAACGTGTTCTGTAAGGTATATTATATATATATGTATATATATCTGTATTAGGTATCTATGTTCTATATCTATGAATTCCCCCCACTACGTAGGCACGAAGCACATATGTTTACATTCTCACTCCTCGAATTTACTTGGAGGGAGGGACCTAGCAGAATTTGAGGGTGGAAAGTATGAAAAAAGCTGAACTGACACCATCTTGATGTTGTTGTTGGTTAAAACTGTTCTAGCATTACCACATCATCAGTGAATATAAATGAGCTTGAGGTGGGGCTGCTTTATAAAAACCTACACACGCTGAAGAGATACTGCGGAAACACTCTGCAGTATCACAGCTTCTGTAATCACATACTGACAGAGGACACATGCTTGCATTCAACATGGATCTTCAGTTTAGACGAAAACAACTCACTGTCTATTTTACAATAGGTGAGCAAAAATGTAAGACTTTTTTCTGGTTATGTACCGTGTTGCCAGATCTGGGCAGTTTTGATATTTGAGTGGTTTCCATCAAATAATTGCTTAGTTCAGTATCCCTGATGAGTGTCAAAACTAAATATTGTTTTAGTTTATCACAACTTAGTTGAAACTTTAATCGCTGTTCAATTCAATTATTATTTATGTACAAGCTCTGTGTTAAGATGTGTAAAATCTTACAGCATGATTTAACATTTAATGAGACATTATCCATTATTTTTCTCCTGGATCAGATTGAGCCAGATAGATAATGGTACTAATACCAAAGTGAAAAAAATATACTCTTTTAAGTACAATAACATTACACACATACTTATATAGTGTGTTATAAGACAAGGTTATCAAAGACAGTACTTTAAAGTGTCATTCATGTAGTTTGAATATGAACTTATGGTAAGTAAAATAAACTGTAGTAGATGTTTCCTTTATATGTATATCTTAACTGCATTGTTCTCCCATCTGCACAGCACTGAACAGGAACTACCTGACATCCTGTGCTAATGTGACCTGTGGTTAACCTCCTTTATTCACTCCACCGCACAGTGCTAGTTTATTTGTTTGTAAGTAGAGTTTTCACTGCTACTGAGTATGTAGCAGTTAAAATTACTCAAAAATTATCAAGCGTAAAAGTGAGATTTGTTTTGTAGTCATTTTTACATTGCAGCAAGCTGTACATGTAGCTATAGTGAAACTTATGTATTTCTTCCTAACCCTTTACAGAGCACCACTGATCTTATCTACTGACAACAGTCTTATAGTCTGATGTATTTGTGTGGGAAAATGTGCTTTCCCTTAACTTAACTAACAATGTGATACGATACAATCTGATACAGTTCTTAGCATTTGTTTACTGTCCATTCTAAATTCAAATAAGCCAGTCCTATAAAAGTGGCTTTGTTTACCTTCAAATACATATATTTTTTCCTTTATAGAAATAAAATGGAAGACAAATGCATTGTGTTCATTGCTTTTCCAATAGACACAGCCAAAAAGACTGTCTGCAGTAATTAACTTAAACCTCGTCCAGTTGTAGCTTAGTTGTGGCTGAAAATGTCTTTTGTATCCGTGTCTCGCATGTTTTTGCTTGTGCTAGCTGTATTAGCATCCACAGACTCATTATCGCCTGCTTGACCTTTTACCTTCCACGAGATCAGAGAAGCTGTAAGTAGCAAACTGATTCATAACTTTAGAAGTGGACCATCGACCAGTTCATGGTACATTTAGATCGATCCAGGGGTAAAACGTTAAAACCGATTCTGACTTGTATCACAAAATTTTAACACCCCTAGTAAGTACACTACATAGTTAAATGGTTTGTTTTTTGTCTGTTTTTACGATTGGGAGTTTTATTGGGAAAACTGATGGGATGCTATCTGACCAGCTCAATCTGCTCTTTGCAGCTTGATGCGACTTTTATTAAAAATGTATTAGACTTTAGTGGAGCAGAGCTGAGAGCCGCTTCTCTTCTCAATGTGCTGCAGTGATTCTGGTGGATTAAAAAGTATTGTTGGCAGTCTGCTCGTAGCTGGAACACAACACAGCTCTGGTGTGCATCCTGGATTGTGTGGGGGGATTACACAGAAGTCTGAAGATTCAGACGACAACCGCTGTCTGATGTCTTAAAGATACAATTGCTCATTATTGTATATTATTATGTCATTATGTTCAAAGTGTGAAGTTTTGGATTGGAAATTAGAAAAAACTCCCCCACACATCCATTTGAGGAAACAAACAGTATTTAATGTGTTATAGAGTGAGTGGCTGAAAGGAGTATCTGGTACCGAAAATGTATTTTTACATAAGATATAAATAAAGGTGTATCCCTGGTGTTTACATAATATGATTATGAACCTGACTCCCCTTTCAATCGAAGCAGATACAAAGCTGTACAAATAAACTTTAAAGCTTTAAAATGTTGTGTACATTGTGTACATTTTGTAAACAGTTGTAAACAAAGAACTTTTTCAGTCAACAAAATATTTATGGTTTTATCATAAACTGGGAAATCTCATGGCCACATCTTTTCTCTTTCAGTTCTGTTGGGATGCGTGTGGGCCGATGAAGAAAAGGAAGCTGTGAAAGCTAGAGAGGGAGCATTTGTCACCCTAAAGACAGGAGAAACCACACGTCACAGTAATGCTCAGGTGGTGTGGACTTTTGGACCCGAGGAGCCAAACGTGCGTATCGCCTATGCGAAGGAGAGGGAAGTAAAGGACGACTACGATGAGCACTTCAGAGACAGACTGCAGCTGGACGAACAGACTGGATCTCTGACCATCACACAGCTGAGAATCAATGACTCCGGTGTTTATATGTTTCAGTCCATCAGCAACAACATCTTATCTCAGAGGTTCCATCTTAAAGTCTACAGTGAGTACACTTCAGCTCTCTTTACTAGAACTTTAAAATAATCCAAAACTTTAATAATAGATTTAAGATTATTATTATTATTGTTGTCATTATCATTATTATTAATCTTTATGCACATTAAAGTGTAAGCACTAAAAAATCTAAAAATGGACATACATCTTTTCGTGTAAATTTTTTAACATAAGATGTCAAAATTTTTGACTTGATTCACTCATTGACAGTTGTAGGCAGTTGTAGAGGTTGTAACAGGTGGTTTTTGTTATTAGGGTGCTGCCGTTGGATTTTAGTCGTATCTTAAAGGCTGTAGTGGACGGTAATTTTAAAGAGAGAGTAATAGGTTCTCGATGAACGAGAAACACGCAAGCAGCACCGAAAGAGCACAGCCAGAAGGTTTAGAAGATACACTTTGGGAATGATACGTCTTTGGACAATAAGCTAGTTGGAGATGCACCGGAGTCCCAAAGGTGCTGTAGTTTGATGCCCTGGGGATGAGATCTCAACAACCAACGTCGGTTCTGTGGCTCTGAGGTTGGTTGCGGGTGTA